GTTAGTACATTTTGAATGCAGTTCTTTTGTTACGGTATTTATTAATCTTTTTACTGTTGGTTAATAAAATTATAACTTTTCATTGTTAGGTTATGTTAGCCCAGGTCCGTTAACTAATGTTTAACCGATACAACTTTTAAAAATGCATTAGTGAATGATGAAATCAACATTAACTAAGAATAATACATATTTTTAAATATTGTTTATTGTTAATTCATGCTTACTAATGTAATGAACCTTACTGTAAACTGTTACCAAACTTTCTGTAGAAAATACAATCCGAAAGTCTGAGATTACTGTTGAAAATGCTATTTTGCGTTTTTTCTTTCATTTAATTCAGATGTTGAATCTGATTTTTAAAAACACACCTTTTCTGTTCTTGCCTTAACAATCTTGCTCGACTGACATGGTCACCATTTACTTTTATTATGAAGAAAAAATATCTCCTTTTGTGTTCCACAAAAGAAAGTAAGTCATACAAAAAGACATTAAGGGTGAGTAAGTGATGAATTGTCATTTTTTGGATGAACTATTCTTGTAATATGTTGGCCAGAATGCAGAACAAATCTGATATTATACATTCTCCCGCACTAGAAAAAAGCCTTTCAACTAGAAAATAAAAACTCAGCTCATTATTCTTGTCACTAGAGAGATAGAAAATCCTTGGCGGGTTTATTTTATGCAGTTCTACAACTAAGAATGAAAATCTTTTGTCTTCCACCCACTCATCGGATTGCCTCCCCCCCCCCTACTGTTTCTTTTCTTTCCATCTTTTTTGCTTCCCATCTCTCACTAAACTGCCGAAACGCAGGAAGCCACAGCAGGCATCTAAACTGTAGAAAACGAGATGCCACAGTTCCTAAGCTCACAGGTCAATTTCATCTGTCCATCATTCCTGTCAGGTTGTCTGCGGGGAAAGTGGACGATATTGTACCGAGGGCGAGCAGCGCAGCAATCCCATTTGAGAGCATGTCTCTTATACTCAACCGTTCAGCCACTATTCTGAGACCCTTAATGGGTTTTTCTTAGTGATTGGAACTTTCCTGTAAAACCTGAAATTGGTTGCAATGCCACTTTCAGGCCTGAGACCCTGAGGACCAGTTTTGCATTATAGTACGTTTCGCTCAAAACTTAAGGACTACTTCAGTCGTTGATGTGGTGTTTTCATTCATAAAGCTAAACCGTAGATTCTTATCAGCTGTAATTTGTGATTTAACCTGTTAGCGTTCCACTGTACTAAATCTTCCCATTTGTATGTTGAATCATCGTATTGAGCTTGGCATCTGAAGTCTGATGTTATGAGAGCTGTTTGACTTTGATAACACTGTGGTAATGGCTGCTAGGCAGTTTATTCAGATGTCGCCCTGCATAGATGGTAAAGTTTACATAGAGCTCCGAGATTTGCTCTATTCCAAACAGTAGCGTTCGTACTAACCTCATTAAAGCGGTTGCATTCCGAACAGGTGGCCCCCTGGCCCCCGGAATGTTCCGTGTTCTAGTTCCGGAACATTCCTTTGTGATGGATAGGCACAAGAAGTCTGATCATGACTGAGGTCCCGTTCCTTCACGATTCATCATTTTCTTTATTAACCAGGTAATTGAGGAGGCATTCTGGTCCGATTGGATACAGCCAAAAATGCTTGTTACATTCCAGTCGCGCTCCGGTATGGACTTTACATTCCTGTGAGTCTGGAATCTGGATAGGCGATGTTGTCAAACTCTGCATTTTTCGAGTCAGATTTTAGACAAAAAGACTGATAGGAAGCCATTCATGCTTTAGCAGACTTCTAATAGAATTTGCATGTTAATTTTTCCTAAGTCCTCGTACCAAAACATCCAATTAATTATGCTTTCATGTGACTTCTTTTGGGTCTAAATCATTTATAATATTTGTTTATATGTATTTTAATATATATAGATATAGATATATAGATATAGATAGATTTATTTTATAAAGTTAAATATATTTAACTATATTGTGGTGTTTATTAAAAAATGATTTTTTTTGCATTAAGTGCTTCTGTGGGCATTTTCCTGGCTTTTTTCCCCCCTCAAACTAAAGTGCCTGTCATTTAGGTTTAGATTTACAGAAGCATTCTGAAGTTGCAGTAAAGAATATGTATGCGTTCCTTAAACAAAAGAACTCTCAGTGCTGCAGGGGAATTAATCAGGTCGCCTCACAGCTTTATCATTCTTTTGACGCCATACTCCCCTGTTCTGGAAGTTTCCTCCTCCCTCATCTCACTTATACATGTACAGTGTCTCATAAAGCAATGAAAATGAAGTAATTGACTTTATTTACGCAACAGGGAGGCTGTTCTCATGATTGTATGCATCTTATCATTTGCCTGAAGTTCTCCCATGGTTCTAGTTGTGCTTTTCTTTAACTTTCTTCCCTTCTTCGGCAACAAGCATGAAGGAGAACGGGGATTACCGCTCCATTCTGCCGGACCCCAGGGGTCCCTTCTCATTCCAAACATGATTGTGTGTGTGTGTGTGTGTGTGTGTGTGTGCAGGAAACCGGGTCGGTCGGGTCCTTTAAAGGGTTCAGTCACTCATCCGTGGAGGCCACAGAGAGAAAACTACAAATTCCTGATCTTGCATTATTTTTTTTCTACATACCTTATCCATTCTTGTTTCATGACTGGATGTATTGTTGTTCTCCTGCCACATCTGGACATCTATTTTAAAACACATTTGACTTGATATCAATCAGATTTCACTCCTAAGGGAGGTTGGCTCACTTTCTGGTGTGTGCCGAGAGCTGTTTATGCTGTTTTGCATGAATATATGAGGTCCTTAGTGTCACATTATATTATTTACAGTGGAGCTGTAAATTAGAGAACAACCTTTAATTTCGCTGCTTAGTTCTATTTGAAGTTAGGAGGAACAGGAGTAGAAGGACAGGTTTTTAAAAAATATTTCATTAATTAATTATATTCTGAAGCACAGTATAAAAACTGATCAAATTATAGGACACCTCCAAGTTATTGGTGTTAATCTGGCCCCTGGTGCTAATTTCCTTAATTATATGGCGATCCCTATTTAACTGGCAGCAATCCTTTAATTTTTACTGAGATTGCAAGATGGCGGGGCGCTCTAAGGTGACTGAAACCCTGCGACAGGAAGTTGTCTAGATGAAGGCCAAAGGGAGTTAAAGGGCCAAAACCCTCTCAGTCACTGCAAGAGAAGCTGGTCATTCCAAATCTGTGATTTTATTGAATATTGTAGCTTTACAATGACACTCATTCATTCAAGTCCCCCAAAAAGGCTTGTCGTCCACGTAAGAAAAATGCACGAGAAGACAGGCTAATGCAGAGACTCTCCATGGGGAATTGGTTCAGCACTGCAGCTGGAATTGCTCGCCAGTTCAGTGCTGATCAGGGTAAGGATCTGTCTTGGCACATTTAAGAGAAGTCGGACTGAAAGCACACTCTGCAGTGACCAAACCTCTCATCAGCAGAAAGAATCAAAAGGCTAGACTCACCTTTGCTGAGGAGCATTTTGTGTGGAGAGAGGAGAACTGGTCCAAAGTTCACTTTAGTGATGAGAGCAAGTTTCATTTATTTGAGTCAGATGGGAAACATTTTGTTCTGTGTCAAACTGTTAAAAGACTGAACCCAGAGTGTGTAAAGAAGTCAGTGAAAGGTGGAGGAGGAAGTGTCATCGTTTGGGGAGGTTTTCTGCAGCAGGAGTTGGGCCTCTTGTACAGATACATGGCAGGTGAATGCAAATGTTTATCAGAACCTCCTTCAGCAACATGCAGTTCCTTCCCTGCAAGCATCTCCCAATCAGCCTGCAGTTTTCATGCAAGACAATGTTCCCTTCACAATGCAAAATGGGTAAAGCAGTTCCTTGAAGCTAAGAACACTGAACTAATGAAATAGCCAGTCCTGATCTACGCTCGACTTAAAACCTCTGGAAAATCCTTGGCAACAAAGTTATGGCTAAGAAACCCATTACAGTTACCAGACTATGGAAGACAAGTGGACCAAGATCACACGAGCGCAATCTGAGAAACCAGTAATGTCCTGTGGCCGCAGATGTGCTAAAGTCATTCAAAGCAGGGGCCTCTACACATCCTACTAATTTCTGATAGCTGTAACCGTTCAAAATTTTAGTTGTAATCTTCTTTCATGCTACAGTGGTTACTGTTCTCTAATTTTAATCACTGAGTTTAAAATAAAGGTTTTTGTTGAAATGCGTTGGATATTTTGTCAAACACGTTAGTAGTGATATACCTACAGCTAATATTCCTTTCAAATTTGAGTGATGAAGATAAACAATATTTTAGAAAAAAACTATTTATAGATTATTCTCTAATATTGATCTCCACTGTATATAGAAAAAAATAATGTATATACACTTAAAATATTATAAAACAATAAAATGAATATAGTTTATACAGTAAAATAAACTAATACTGTTTAAAAGTTTGGGGTCAGTATGTTTTTTTTTTTTTTTAAAGAAATATAAGTATATATTTATTCTGCAAAGATGCATTAATTTGATCAAATGTGACAGATCAAAAGACATTTATAATGTTAAAAACTATTCTTTTTAATTTTCTATTCATCACAGAATAAAACCTGAGAATTTGAAGGGCATAAACAAAAATATACAATTATTCCTAATAAAGGAATGGCAAGTCTGGCACACATGTAAAAAAGGCTTCATGTTATATAGAAATTCAGTTCCATGATAAAAAAATCAGGCCTATTTGAGTCGATACATTATTGTGTATTATGGTGCTAGAAAGATCTCCAGTCATGTTCAATTAAAAGAACGCAAACATTTCAGGTCAAGTGTGACTTAAAATATTAGTGAAATTGCAGTGCAACATTTCAACCTTTGTGTAAAGCTCATAAAGATGACATTTTTGTCCCACAAATGTACGTTTTTGGCCTTTTTTGTTACTATGTTTGTAGATGCTTTAAATCATTCTGCAGCATCAATAACTACCATTAATATTAAGCTAATATTTTTTATCTCTTACTCAGGCTCTTTTGAAGATCGATTGTCAGGGTTTGGTGGCCCGACTCATTATGGACTTCGTGTTGCTGACGACGGCAGTGGAAGTGGCACCTCGCTGGAGGGAGCTCGCCGAAAAACTCGCCCACGTATCCAAGCAACAAATGGAGGCCTATGAGGCTCCACACAGAGACAAAACTGGGATGGTGGACAGTGAGGTGAGGACACAAAACCTCCTTTTCAATATAGAAGAGTAGAGTTCACATTCGTGAATTCGATCAGATGATATAATCTCCATTTATCTTATCATTTCAGGCCATGTGGAAACCAGCCTACGACTTCCTGTTGACGTGGGCCGCTCAGATTGGCGACAGTTACCGCGATGTCATTCATGAACTGCACATGGGCCTGGACCGAATGAAGAATCCAATCTCCAAACGCTGGAGGCACCTCACCGGCACCCTGATCCTTGTCAATTGCCTCGACTTGCTTCGAAGCTCCGCCTTTAGCTCCGCCCCTCAGGATGACTGTGCCATTTAGCTCCACCTCCTCACAATTAAGTTTCGACATCACCTCAGAACTTTTAACGGACACACACTTTTCTACGTCACCATCAGCTGTGAGTTTACCTCAATTCAATAGCCGTGAGGACTTCCTGTATCTGTCCACGTCCATATAAGAGCATGCGGAAAGCCAAAACACAGAGTGTTTCAAGTGTAGCTATTTTTTTAGATTTCTGAAGGCGTTTTTATCAGTTTTCTTCTTTGTGATATCTATATTTTTTTATACCGGATGGCACAAAGGAAATTTTTACGATCACGAACATTTTTCAAGAACAATTTTTTTCATAAAAAACAGATGACATCTTTGTTCGTTACTGAAAACGAAGGTCTATTTTGTGACATCACATTTATCCATGTTTGTCTTGGTCTGGATGTTCTGTATTTCATTGCCAAATGCTCAAGCCTTCCATATTTGTGATTTTATTCCACTGATTTGTTCTGTGCTTGGCACAGAAGGACGGATTAGTCTTACTAGAAACACGAAACACTACAAACTGGTTACGTGAGAGGAAGGAGCATATGGTGTGTTGAGATGGTAAGTTCAGACTGTGTTTTGTCCCTTCAAGCTTCAAGCAAGTTTGCATTTGTATGACCAGATATCGTAATACCATTAATACCATGTAGGTATTAAATCGCAGTGTTGCTTTAGTTTCAGTTGTGAGTCACTCATTCAGTGTTTCTGTCAAGAAACAAATGCAGTCAGATGAATAAATGAACAGATCATAGCGTGGTTTTATGACTGTGATGATTTTTTGTTCTACATTTATATTTTTTGTACCTACAATTTTTTTATTTTTAGACTTTTGTGTTCTTTTATGTTTTATGTTCTAAAATATTTTTTTGTTGGTTTAAAAAAATAATAATCATTTCTTATACGTCCTGTACATGTCAAGGAGATTTTGTGCTGTTTTTTGGAACAGCGTGTAGGGAAAAAGTGAATGTATGTATTTATATATAAATATTCTGGTGTTTTAGAGTTTTGTCACATTTATAACTTGGTTTTGTGCTAGCTATTTGAGATGTTTGAGAGTAACTGTTTGAAAAGTTATAATTCACACATTGTCTTAGTTGCAGCCATATATTTAGCAAGAAAACAAATTAAACATGCTGTCCCATGTTGTTCCCATGGATTCAATAAAGCAGCAGTAGATGTAAAGTTTGTCAGTTCTCTCTTTATTGCGACTATTTTTCATAACTGTGAACTTTCTGACTTCAAGTTATCACTCTATTCTTATTGCAATTATTAACTATTTCTTATTATTGCAAATTTCTTAAAAGTGCAACTTTATATCTGACCATTGTGATATAATTTCTTGTTATCGGAACAATTTCTCATGATTGCAACGTCACAACTGACCCTTCGCTGGGAGTTTGATTGACAGCCGAGCTGACCAATCATAACGCCAAACCTGTCATTTTATCTGACAAACAAACCATACAGGAGAATAGGTAAATGTCGTTTTTAATTTTTCATTGAAAAATGCTGTGTATTGACATCTTTCCACGGTTGAAACAAGATACCGTCTGATGTTCATTCATGTTTATATTGTGCTATAACTAGTAAAGAGGAAGAGATGATCGATTCACATGCCACTTGAACTGAGGCGCTACAGCGATCTGTCACGACACATTAAGGAGCCACAAAACGGTATTTAATATTTTAATTTCTTAAAAGCTACAAAATTTGAAAACCAAAAGTAACCTGCTCTGTCTTGTCTTATTTACATAGTTATTGTGCTGGGGCCCCAAATCACGAAGTCCGGCCCTGGTGAGAATATGTGTGGCGTGAGAGCGCCATGGCTTGTCAGACGTAGCAACAGGGGGTGGGTCTTTGTGAAGGGTCAATTCATTTTTGTGTTATTGCATCTGCCTCACAATTCAGACATTATGTGTCATTACTGCAACTGTATATCTCACAATTGCAACATCATTCTGTGTTCTAGAAACTCTTACAATTGGGACTTATTTCTCATACTGCAAGTAATGTTAATAAATACAAATTTATCTCTCACAATTGCAAGTTTATATGTCACAATGTAACTTTCTTTTTTAAAGTTTTTATCAATTAACTTTAAATGTTTACTCCGAGGCAGAAACAGGCTTACATAGTGAAATACAGATTAAAATGTTAGAATTACCAATCCTCTAGTTGTTGCTAACTCTGTCAAGCTTAAAATTGTGACATAGTTGTTTATTGTTTTGCTTATATCACCCACTAAGATATCATGACCACTTTAATGTGCAACTAGGATTGTTAGAATTTTATGCATTTAAAGTGTCTGTCCTTTAATGTGTGTTGCAGTCTTTGTTTCTGACCTCCACCCAGCTTTCTGCATCCCTAAGCACTTCAATAGAGCTGACTGTGAAAAATCAATTAACACTATATTTAAATTGCTAAATTAATTACAAGGTTGCAGAAAGTTGAATGGCACTATAAAATCAAGACTGTTTTATTACAATCATAATTAAACAAAAGCATGATGACTAGAGTCAATAAAGACATAAATGCAGCGCAAACACATCAAATCACAACAACAAATGCTATAACCTATGAAAAAATGGGTAGGTCCAATCATGGATGCTGATTGATTGATACAACATTCCAGCTGTGCTAAATTGCACAATATAGTAATAGCTATGATGTAAAACACCTGTTCACAATAATGTCTTAAATACTAATTTCAGTCTGCTCCTCACACAAAGCTATCATATGGCTTCAGAAGGTATTTATAAATAGCGTATGAATCACACAGAGTAATTGTATGTTGCTTTTGAAGCTTGTACTCAGTGCGCATTTTATAAAAGAGTAACTAGAAATAGTCTTCAAATAAATGTCCTTTTGTTTTTCCACAGAAGAACAGGAATGTCATACAGGAGCGACAAGTGTGTGAGTAAGTTATTGTATTTTTTGTTGAAAATTTGCTTTAATCTTAGTTGAAATTCCAGATGCAGTATCTTCTAGTTGGCATTTAAAATACTTAATATTTTAATGAACATTTGTTAGATTCGTTTTATACATAACTAATTAAACCCAGGAAGTTTCTTTTCACATACTTTAAAAAAAAAAAAAAAAAAATCATTATTTGGAAGATTGTTGAATGCAGTAGATGACAGAGTGAAGTATTTTAAATTACTCAAATTAAACTAAATTAAGGGCACAGCCTGAGCAGCTGGAGCCCCTGCAGTAAATATTTAGGTCTTTTCACAGGTGTCGAGGACTCTGATGTGCTTTATTTCATTGTTTGTGATGTCTACAATTGTCATGTCATGTGTCAGTGACAGGATTTGTTACGGCTAGAAACCGAGCAAATTGACAAATATTCCCTGGAGTCCTGTTAACATTTTTCCTTGACCTTCATTGCACGTTCTTTGAAGTTAGATGGCAGCGTGTTATGTTACGTTTTCTTTCTTTAAAATACAGGATCAAGAACATGTCTAAACCATGTTTTACTCTGAAAGTGAGACATTTTTACAACAAAAAATGTCAGGACTTTTTTTTTTTTTATTTTTTTTTTTTTTTTTTTTTGAACTTTTAACGGACACACACTTTTCTACGTCACCATCAGCTGTGAGTTTACCTCAATTCAATAGCCGTGAGGACTTCCTGTATCTGTCCACGTCCATATAAGAGCATGCGGAAAGCCAAAACACAGAGTGTTTCAAGTGTAGCTATTTTTTTAGATTTCTGAAGGCGTTTTTATCAGTTTTCTTCTTTGTGATATCTATATTTTTTTATACCGGATGGCACAAAGGAAATTTTTACGATCACGAACATTTTTCAAGAACAATTTTTTTCATAAAAAACAGATGACATCTTTGTTCGTTACTGAAAACGAAGGTCTATTTTGTGACATCACATTTATCCATGTTTGTCTTGGTCTGGATGTTCTGTATTTCATTGCCAAATGCTCAAGCCTTCCATATTTGTGATTTTATTCCACTGATTTGTTCTGTGCTTGGCACAGAAGGACGGATTAGTCTTACTAGAAACACGAAACACTACAAACTGGTTACGTGAGAGGAAGGAGCATATGGTGTGTTGAGATGGTAAGTTCAGACTGTGTTTTGTCCCTTCAAGCTTCAAGCAAGTTTGCATTTGTATGACCAGATATCGTAATACCATTAATACCATGTAGGTATTAAATCGCAGTGTTGCTTTAGTTTCAGTTGTGAGTCACTCATTCAGTGTTTCTGTCAAGAAACAAATGCAGTCAGATGAATAAATGAACAGATCATAGCGTGGTTTTATGACTGTGATGATTTTTTGTTCTACATTTATATTTTTTGTACCTACAATTTTTTTATTTTTAGACTTTTGTGTTCTTTTATGTTTTATGTTCTAAAATATTTTTTTGTTGGTTTAAAAAAATAATAATCATTTCTTATACGTCCTGTACATGTCAAGGAGATTTTGTGCTGTTTTTTGGAACAGCGTGTAGGGAAAAAGTGAATGTATGTATTTATATATAAATATTCTGGTGTTTTAGAGTTTTGTCACATTTATAACTTGGTTTTGTGCTAGCTATTTGAGATGTTTGAGAGTAACTGTTTGAAAAGTTATAATTCACACATTGTCTTAGTTGCAGCCATATATTTAGCAAGAAAACAAATTAAACATGCTGTCCCATGTTGTTCCCATGGATTCAATAAAGCAGCAGTAGATGTAAAGTTTGTCAGTTCTCTCTTTATTGCGACTATTTTTCATAACTGTGAACTTTCTGACTTCAAGTTATCACTCTATTCTTATTGCAATTATTAACTATTTCTTATTATTGCAAATTTCTTAAAAGTGCAACTTTATATCTGACCATTGTGATATAATTTCTTGTTATCGGAACAATTTCTCATGATTGCAACGTCACAACTGACCCTTCGCTGGGAGTTTGATTGACAGCCGAGCTGACCAATCATAACGCCAAACCTGTCATTTTATCTGACAAACAAACCATACAGGAGAATAGGTAAATGTCGTTTTTAATTTTTCATTGAAAAATGCTGTGTATTGACATCTTTCCACGGTTGAAACAAGATACCGTCTGATGTTCATTCATGTTTATATTGTGCTATAACTAGTAAAGAGGAAGAGATGATCGATTCACATGCCACTTGAACTGAGGCGCTACAGCGATCTGTCACGACACATTAAGGAGCCACAAAACGGTATTTAATATTTTAATTTCTTAAAAGCTACAAAATTTGAAAACCAAAAGTAACCTGCTCTGTCTTGTCTTATTTACATAGTTATTGTGCTGGGGCCCCAAATCACGAAGTCCGGCCCTGGTGAGAATATGTGTGGCGTGAGAGCGCCATGGCTTGTCAGACGTAGCAACAGGGGGTGGGTCTTTGTGAAGGGTCAATTCATTTTTGTGTTATTGCATCTGCCTCACAATTCAGACATTATGTGTCATTACTGCAACTGTATATCTCACAATTGCAACATCATTCTGTGTTCTAGAAACTCTTACAATTGGGACTTATTTCTCATACTGCAAGTAATGTTAATAAATACAAATTTATCTCTCACAATTGCAAGTTTATATGTCACAATGTAACTTTCTTTTTTAAAGTTTTTATCAATTAACTTTAAATGTTTACTCCGAGGCAGAAACAGGCTTACATAGTGAAATACAGATTAAAATGTTAGAATTACCAATCCTCTAGTTGTTGCTAACTCTGTCAAGCTTAA